ATTTTCAGAATTCTCCAAATGTTGCAATCTAACTAAAGAATTCTGGGAGCTGAATCAGTACAGAGTGTTAAAAAACTGATTTATGACTTTCCGTAATTCTGTTTGCAAAGCCACCTAATCGTTGTTTATTCAATAAAGTAATGAGTTACACAATTTATTTCTGTGAGCACAATCTAGGTGTTGAGTTTATGAATGACATTGTGCTTTTTACACCAAAGTAGTAAAAAAACTTACATCAGAACACAAATCTGGACACAGGGATACTATTCATTTGCCAAAGACCCTGAAGAACTACCTTTCATAGCCTCCATAAGCCTCCATCTTAACAATAAGAGGGTGTGTTGTATTTTTCTAAAAGTGATATAAAGAAGGTAATAAATTAATTCTGAAGATGCATCACCTTTAATAGAATCAAGAAAGATTCTGAGTGCAACATGTTTTGTTAAATTAAATACTCTTTCTTGAGAATGGACAAAGTCATAAGGGAAAAAAGCAGGAAATTAAAATACTGAATTCAGCAGTACAAGAAAGAGGAGCCTTTCCTGAAAGAATATAATTTTGTAACACCCAAAGACTGAATATTTCTGAAGATACAACCCTTACAGTCTCCATACAAAATTATCTAATTTGATTTCTCCTCCTCCTCTTCATTCTTTATATCTTCCTATCTAAAATGATCTTCAATATTAAAAAAAATAACTTGGCAACAGGGAGCCGTGCACAAACTGAAGAAATTGATTACCTGCTAGAAATGGAATCAAACATTGACATCCATTAAAAAAAATTAACAGTGATTCATGGACCCAATAAAAAGACATCTTGTAATAAAAAAAATCTTTTACAGGTAGTCCTCAACTTACAACAGTTTGTTTAGTAACCATTCAAAGTTACAAATGGTACTGAAAAAAGTGACCTATGATCAGTTTTCACACTAAGGACTGTTGTAGCATCCCCATGGTCATGTGATCAGACACTTGGCAATTGAGTCATATTTATAACGGTTGCAGTATTACGTAATATCCTTTTGCGACCTTCTGACAAGCAAAGTCGATGGGGAGGCCAGATTCGTTTCACTAATTTAACAACTACTGTGATTCGCTTAAAACTGTGGCATGAAAAGTTGTAAAATGGGACAAACTCACTTAACAAATGTTTCACTTAGCAACATAAATTTTGGCTTCAATTGTGGTCATAAGTTGAGGACTGTCTGTATTAACTGCTGCTGGGGAACCTGCTAATCCCTGCTATAAATTTTTATAATGAAAAAAATGTAAACTTCTGATGATATGTAGTACAGATGTGCTGTTCCTGATTTTAATACTGTTTCCCTGTTGTGACTCCTAAAATATACTTCAGAAGAATCTCACTGTAAATATCAAAAAGTATAATTGGTTCTGCTTTCCACATTCCAAGGGACTTAGTATACTTTGTTAGGGAAACAATTCTGAATAAAGCTGGATTTTATAGTTTTAGAACAGAGGGAAAGAACCATTGCTGCTGTTGGAAGAATCCTAGTCATATCCTGAAATTAGCTTGGAGGCTAAATTAAATGTGTAACAGAAAGGCCAACTCTGTCATTAAGCTGACTAAAGTAGTAATTTTGGGTAGCAGACCAGAAAAAGCAATATATTGGGACAATTATTTCGGAAGTACAGTAGCTTCTTAAGCAGCCACTTTATAGTCCACCTTTTTTGTAAGAACTCAGAGCACCATATATAATATGCCATCCTCCATTTGATCCTCTCAAAATAACTGTAAGATAGACAACTGAGATAGAGTTGCACGATTCTCTTGTATCTGACCACCTATCTCCCCAACTAAAGCCCATCACACCAACTTCTAAACCATGTTGCTTGTCTTCTGAGTCAGCCTTCCATAAGCATTATTTTAAGAGGGTTCGTGGTGACTCCTGTAAGGTTACCAGCCACGTAGAGGGTGACTGGTAGGGGAATGGGCCAACTTGCCATAGCCAACTTGCTGTAGCCAACTCACCACAGCCAACTCACCACTGGATAAGTCACCATGGCCAACTCGCCATGGAATAACTCCCTGAGGGACAATTTAACAATTCTCTTTAATTATTTAAAATAAATAAAAATTATTTTAATTTTTGCCATTCACATTTTATTTTGTCTGTTGAGGTAATTCCCCGTTAGGAGAATGAGTGCACACAGGGAGACGTAGTGAGAGTGGTGAAGAATAACACACAACCAGCACACAGATACACTGTATAGTAAAATGTAGGTTTTTACTTCCAATAAACGTTTAAGCAAAGTTCAACAAACAGTCCAAGTCATTCACGGTTAAAGCAGTCAGTTTTCAGTCCAGAGATAATCCAAATCAGAATCCAGAATCAAAAACAGTTCAGTAATAGATTCACATCAAATCCAAGAATAACGATGATCAGTAACAGTCAATAGGGAAATGCAGGAACGGCAACACTCTCAGCAACAACAGAACAGAACAACCTAGGTTTCTGGCTACATCTTATGGCCATTTGAGGAACCACACCCAATTACAATTTTAGCATTCCCTTAAAGAGACAGTATTAAAATGTCTATCCCGGTTTATATATTTTCCAACCCAACTGTTAGGTGACTTACATTCCTAACACTGTCCCTCCTTTTGCATCCTTTCTTTAATGATTCTATTCCACTATTTCTTTGATATTAGTGTAACTCTTGTTCCACAGTGAGCTGTCCTGTGGCAAGATGGCTGTGATTAATTATCATAGACCTGACTGGCAGTGCAGTTGCCATTAGAAAAGTGGACTAGAAGGAGCAGCAGAAATACCAAAATCTCCTCCTGCATTACAGGGCAGCCTCCTAACTCACATAAAGGGACTTCTTGGCTTATTTCAGTTAAATATCTACAGCTCATTCCAGCATCCAAAAGACTTAATTACAATCAGGCCTTGTGGCTTGAGCCTTAGCTATTCATTTTCCCCTTCATTTACTTCTTTGTTGACAAAGAGTTTGGGAGATTCGACAAACTTGCCTACAGTATTTTGTGCCTTTGAGCTGATATAAGAAAGGCATTGCTACTACATCCACTTTAGCTCCCTAAAGACTATTTGACCATGAAGAATCACCTTGCATAGAAAATTTAAAAGCTCTATTAGTCAAGGAGCAGATAAATGGACATATATGGCAATGCTGTAATCCTTACATTTAAATATATGTAAAGATATTTAAATTTAGTAGCTGGGACAGTGTGATTGTACAATGAATCAGAACACAATGTTATAACCGTTGGAGAGCTGGCTCCTGCATGAGGCAATCTAAGCTGTGATTGGTTGTTCTGGGTGTTTCCTGCCTTTTTTTCCTCTGTGTGCTTTGTAATTTACCTCATGATGTTCCTGCTATGTTGATTTACCTGATGATCCTCCTCTTTGCCTGACTCTCTGTTTTGCTGTATATATATAGATGTAAAATATATTTATTTATATTATAAAAGTACAAATTTGTGTCAGCGTCTCTGACTCCATTTGGACACCAGCTGTGCAATTTCCCTGTGTCAGACCTGCCCCAGTTGGGCCCTCAGGAAAGCAAGACTCTTTGAATCCATTGAGTTGAATCAAAAGAACTTTTATTGAGAGTCATTGGATGCAGTAAAGTCAGGTGGAATCTGAAGTCCCTGCGCAAAGCACAAAGCATTTTTTTCCATTTCCCAATCCCAACCTCCCCCCCAGACTAGTCTACCAGCATGTCAAGAAGATGTTTTGAGAACTCTGAGGTGCTAGGCAGATAATAGTTCACATTCAGGGCATGATGGCCTTGGAACCTGGTGAAAACGGGCTGGGAAGGAGTCCGTCCTATGTCCGAAGACAGTCCCCCCTCCCTAATTCCCAAGTGAACAGCAGAAGCGGAAAATGTGAAGCATGCTCATCCATCCCCCTCCCCTCCCCCCAGCACAATCGCAGGACACCAGAGCAGCGGTGGATCTGACACCCTGATAATGTAGGAATAAAACTACATTAATTGCAAAGCTTGGAAGAGGGACAAGTGAATATCAGTAGAAGGCAGGGACTTTCTGTATGTTACGGGTTCATAGTGTTTCTTCACTAGCAGTTTCTACAGAAATAGCTCTGCAGAGTTTAAAAGGCCAGGAATGTGTGGTTTCTTCTGAAAGCTGAAGACTACACTCAATTTTCAGGTGATGTGTGAAAGGATTGCATTTGAGAAATTTTCTGGGACAAAGACAGGGCCAGACCAAAACAAACTTAAACCAAACCAAACCAAATGTGAGAGCTGTTGTGGCGCAGTAGTTAGAATGCAGTACTGCAGGCTTCTTCTGCTGATTGCCTGCTGCCAGCAGTTTGGCAGTTCGAGCCTCACCTGCTCAAGGTTGACTGAGCCTTCCATCCTTCCGAGATTGGTAAAACGAGGACCTAGATTGTTGGGGGCAATATGCTAACTCTGTAAACTTAGAGAGGGCTGTAAAGCACTGTGAAGTGGCATATAAGTCTAAGTGCTATTGCTATTAAATTCAGTCAAACCAAATTGAAATTCAGTTCATTAAATACAGTTAATGGGTTACTCCGCATTTATGATATAACGTGTACAATTCAGTGGCAACTTTAAAATGAACTCTACAGGACGCATCATTTGAGGGAGGGGGCCTCAAGTTATGCCCCCATGATGAATAGTTTTTCCCAGCCTTGTGGCCTAGAATACTAGAAAAAGAGTCCAATATTGGATACTGAATCCAGTGAAATCTATACACTGAAGCTATTTCTACCACATGGTCTATGTGTTCCATTATTGTCAGATTTCCAGCTACCCTAGCAAAAACTATCCAAGATCTCAGGCAAAGGAAACTGTGCAGCACTACTTCAATCCAACAAATATTATCTTCTTGAAAAATATGCTGTGCCTCTGAGCTATGGTGTCTTTCCTCAGAGAGTGGTTGTAGAAGCTGTCTGTCTGCCATTTTGTGTTTTTTTTTAAATTTGTTGTCTGCAAGATATTAAGATATTTTCTAGAAGCTCAAAAACAGTTCTAGGTTGAAGTACCATCACTGCATGGAATGTCAAAGCCTTCACCTACATTCTTAATCACCACCAGTTTATCAAACAGTTTGAAGGAGAGTGGAACCTGGGACATGCATATGCCATTTTGGTCTCTAGCTTCAGTATTGTTCAGTAAGAGGTGGGGACCATCACAAGTGTTTTCTTCATGAGAGACACCTATAAAATCTTCAGATTCTTCCACAGGACTCAGAAATCTTTGCCCCTCATATTCAGAAAGTAGGATTTCATCACAGACCACCTCGTCCTCCTTGGGAGAATGTTCCTCTTCTGTTCCTTTGACAAATCCCAAGAAGTTCATTGTTGTATCAGTAACTGGCTCCTCTTTGTCAGATGAAGGTTCTACAACCAATGGTTCCATGGTGCTGTTTACTTCCATTGGTTCCATAAAATTCAACTTTACCTGGGCCTGAAAAACATTAAGAAAATGTCTGTCTGGGGTTGGATTCATTCCAAACTATTGTTTGTTTATTCATAGTTTATTGAATCAATGACAATTGGGAAGGTCTGCATGCTGGGGTAAGACAAATTATTTACAAGCTACAGTAGATATGTTTGTACAAACCAATGTGTCAAAAATGAATACATCATTAAGCATAATGTGGGAGACTAGGACCTGCAGATCTGTATTAAACTGCTTTAAGATGAGTGGTGGTCAGGTCTTAAGGAACCATGTTTTTACCAAATTAGCGTGTTTACTCATCTTTAGTATTGTGTGCTCTGATTGGCAATTCTGATCTAATCGCCATCTGGAAATGCTAGCAGGGGTTAAGTCGTCTTTCTAACTTAATTGGGAGGAAACCTGCAATATCAAATTGTGTGTGCTGCATATTAGTGCTGGCTGAGGAATTCTGGGAGTTGAAGTCCACACATCTACACATCTTCAAGTTGCAAGGTTGAGAAACACTGATTTACAGTGTGCAAGAGCAGAGCAAAGTCTAGACCAAAGCAATACTCTTTCAGGACGAAAGATCATCAAAGGAAGATTCATCCTGCAGACCCAAAGTGCTGTAATGTCAACCATTTGACAGCTGTGTTTTTGATATATTCAAAGAAATGCCCTTCTCCCATATTATAGGTAGTCCTCAACTTACAACAACAGAGCCCAAAATTTATGTTGCTAAGTGAGAAATTTGGTAAGTGAGTTTGTACCCCATTTTATGACTTTTTTTGCCGTGTTTGTTAAGTGAATCACTGCAGTTGTTAAATTAGTAATACGGTTGTTAAGTGAATCCGGCTTCCCCATTGACTTTGCTTGTGAGAAGGTCGCAAAAAGGTATCACGTGCCCCTAGGACACTGCAACTGTCATAAATATGAACCACTTGTCAAGCGTCCGAGTGTAAATCACGTGGCTATGGGGATGCTGCAATGGTCACAAGTGTGAAAAATGATTATAAATCTCTTATAAGTTGTAAGTCGAGGACTACCTGTATACTGTTCTGTGAGCTACAGAAGTATTTTTTCTTAGCTTCTCTGTCTCAAATACAGAGGTCTTCAGTGATCAAGAGATGATCTGCTACTCCTACTCCTACTGATAAAACATGCAGTGATCCTCATTCAATAAATGAAGAAATCAAAATAGAAAAATCTTCCCTTGAAGCTCACCTGGCCCGTTTTTGCTGTGGTGTGGAACTTCACAGCTTCTGTATTCGCAGGATCTGGCAATGCTGGGAACAGAGATTTCTTCATTCTGGAACAGATGTTAGGACAATGGTTTGGGAAGCAGAAGTGGGGGACGGCAGAAGTTGCTTAGCTCTTAGCAGGCCAGGAAAGGCTCAAGATACAGATGTGGTTCTTTTGCATATATCCAATTTTAAAAAGTTTATGCATTTGCAAATCAGGTTAAGCCAGGACCTATAGCCAGGTCCTATAGAACAGTGGCCCCCAACCTTTTGGGCACCAGAGACCAGTTCCGTGGAGAGAGGTTTTTCCATGGACCAAAGGAGGAGTGGTTGTGCGTGCTGCCTGCATCCCGCAGATGAAACTTTGCTTGTTTTGTGGCCCATTTTTTTGTATGCTGCGGCCCAGTGCTGGTCCGTGGACCGGGGGTTGGGGACCCCTGCTATAGAACTATACTACATAGAGACATAGTAGTTTCACTTAAACCCTCCTGTCCAATTAGAAGCAGACAATATTATTACTTGGCATTATGTGCAAAGTAGGTCATTGAACTTCAGTGCATCTGATCGTCCTGAAAGTTAAGACCGGTAGCATGATCTCTCATATTACAAATATGGAATGCTATTGTCAGCACACAAGACAATGGCTTTGCTAGAATTTCTATCAGAGCTTGGATAACAAGTGACAATTCCCCAGCTCATCTTCTCAGCCGCTTTACTGCATCAACTCACTGAAGCTACACAGCAGATGATTAATTAGCTGATGACTTAGGAATCAACTATCCAGGGAGGTAACAGTTGCTCACGACAGCTGCTTAGGAGTTAATTTTATATGTGTCCTAATACCAATTCTTTAGGTAATTTAGCCTATCCAATTCTGTTCACAAATTAATATTCATCAACAAAAATAGATTTGATTAAAATGGGAATCTTTTTGTTGTACAACAGGTACTGGAATGCTATGCAAAGAGTATTGTCAATGTAATAAAATGTGTTGTACAAGTGGTCCTCCACTTACGATCACAATTCAGCCCAAAATTTGGTTAAGTGAATTTTGGCCCCATTTTATGATCTTTTTGTCATGGTTGTAAAGTGAATCACCACAGTTGTTAAATAAGTAACACAGTTGTGAAGTGAATCTGGCTTCCCCATTGACTTGGCTTGCCAGAGGGTTGCAAAAAGTGATTACATCACACACACACACACACACACACACACACACACACGGGACACTGCAACCAGCATAAATTTGAGTCAGTTGCCAAGTGTCCAAATTTTGATCACGTGACCATGAGGATGCTGCCATGATCATAAGCGTGAAAAGCGGCCATAAATCACTTTTTTCAGTACCCTTGTAACCAGCAGTGGCATCCTACCTGTTCCACTACCTAACCCTAACCCTAATCTAACATGCACACACCTAACGCACGCGTGCAGCTTTCCACACACCAGCTGAGACCTGCAGTGCCAATCAGCCGAGAGTATAAAGAAGAGAAAAGTGCAAGGGCGGGTAGGAGGGCCGATCCTGCGCTTTTCTCTTTTTTCTCCTCTCAGCCTTTTTTTCTTCCTCTTAGCTGATTGTGGGAGGCTTTTTTAAAACTACTGGTTCAAACCGGGCCGAACCAGTAGCATAGCACCGCTGCTTGTAACTTTGAATGGTCACCAAACAAACTACTGTAAGTTGAGGTCTACCTGTATGCGCTCCCTTCGTCATCGGCCAGTCTATAGATTAAGCTTCCTGTGTCTTAAAGCAGGCACTTCTCTCCTGCCCTTGAAATAGTTATTGCGCATGGCTTCATCATACTTACCTTTTTTTGCCAAGGTAGAAGATGATGATGACAACAAGGATGCCTCCAAAAAACCCCATAAATAGAAAGCTAAGCACCAGAGGTAGCGGCTTGGACTCTAGAGAGGAATAAAAAACACAAGAAGTTATTGCTACTGTTGAAATTTCAGATGGAGAACTCAGGGGGAAGAGAAGTTATACCTGGAGCTTTGGTTAGAAATCGATAAAAAGCTTTGCAGTTGTCTTTGCTATTTGCTGTAGAGACCCAGATGCCAACAAGGTAGACCGTATCAGGCTGTAAGTTCTGGATTGTATACCATGTTTGTGACACGTTGACGTCATAATCTGAACAAGAACAAGACAGTAATCAGAGCCCTCTGGTTGGCATTTTCCACAGCACCATGGCAGCAGCAACCAAAGACCTTGGCCCAAATTCCAGTGGGGAACTTTGCTGGGACACCGACTTTCCCTTCCAAATTGCATGAACCCAAGACACAAAGGTCAGAATCCCGTACTCACATGTTAGGTTACCGTATTGCTCCTTTTGACAACATACGATATATTTCTTCAGTACACCTGGGCAATCAGAGAGGGCTCTGGGAGGCTTCCACTGGATGACAGCCGAATTCGCAGTTTGGTTAGTCACATTTATACGGATGGCATCTTCAAGAGAAGCTGCAGACCAAAGAGGACAGTTATCATTGTCTCTTGAAGACCATAAATTCCATTGATTTCTTCCATCTTTGAGATGGTGGCCAGGTTCTCTCATCACTTCCTTGAGAACCCATATATAGAGCTAAGGATGAATTGCAGTCCATTTTTGACCAGGGTAGGGTAGTCAGAGAAGGGTACCAGGGGAGGGTAGTCAGGGCCAAGGTTTTGAAATGTTCTCAGGCTGTAGAAGCTGTTAAAAAAAAGAAAGAATTTCAGAGCCCCTGGTTGAAGCTCTGGTGAACAATTGGCTACGCAGAAGTGAAGCTTTTGTGTGTGTATCTGCTTATCAAGTTCTTGCAAAACTCTAGACTTCTGTGGAATCCAGTTTGAAAAACCTAGTTTAAGTGATCTTTGTTTATTCCCGAAAGACCAAAATCCTTTTCATTGGCCTTCATAGAAGCTATCATTCTTCCTTCTTTCCTGAAAAATCTTACCTTCTTTCTTCCATTCCATGCATTATTACAACCAATATTATAGTGAATTTCCAGATACAGGTAGTCCTTGACTCACAATAATTCATTTAACAACAATTCAAATTATGATGGCCCTGAAAAAAGTTATTTGTGACCGATCCTCACACTTATAACTGTCACAATTATCAAAATTTGTCTGCAAAACTGTTGCATAATCAAAATTTGGGCATTTGGCAACTGGCATGTATTTAGGACAGTGACAGAGTACTGGGTCACATGATCTCCATTTGCGACCATCCAACGGATCTTCCAACAAGCAAAGTCAATGGGGGAAGCCAGACTTGCTTAACAACCATGTGACTCTTTGAACAATTGCTTAATGACTACAGCAAAATAGGTGCGAATCATTTAATGACTGCATCGCTTAGTGATGGAAGTCGAGAATAACCTGTATTAAACATTGAACTATAGAAACCATTTGTTGGCAGTTAAACAAGGCAAAATATAAATTTATATTGCCATAGAAGTAGCATATTCTTTTAATTTATTAATTAGATTTTTATCCTGCCTTTATTACTTTATAAGTAAATTCATGGTGGTAAATACACATACTCCTTCCTCCTCCTCTTTCCCCCTCAACAAGAACCCTGTGAGGTGGGTTGAGCTGAGAGTGATTGGCCCAAGGTCCCCCAGCTGGCTTTTAGGCCTAAGACAGGACTAGAATTCCCAGTCTCCTGGTTTGTAGGCCAGCACCTCAATCATTATACCAAACTGGCTCTCTTAGTTAGATAAGTACAGTGAAATGCTGTAGGTTACAGAAGTGGCATTCAGCAGGTTCTGACCATTTCTGGAGAACCAGTAGTGGAAATTTTGAGTAGTTAGGAGAACCGGAAAATACCACCTCTGATTGGAGATTTTACAGTATCCTTCCCCTGCCACACCCACCAAGCCACGCCCACAGAACCGGTAGTTTAAAAAAAAATCGAATCCCACCACTGCGTAGATTATGACAATACTCACGCATTTTTCTATTTAGCCATCTTTGATGAAGCCCTATAACAGGCCACCTTACAGTATTTTCAAGATATTTGGGTTTTCCACATGACCTGCTAACCACAGGTCTGAGATGCTCTATTACAGCAGTCCCCAGTTTTGGGGGGTCTGACTGGGGGGAGGGAACTCGGCCATGCAAGCACACATGAAGCCCTTACATGAGTGGTGGGCTGGAGAGCGGCAGGCCAGCATGCATGCATGTGATTGTCCACCGGCCCACCGCTCACACAAGTTGAGCTGTGCATGTTCCAGACAGCCACTCATATGGCCCAATTCCGAACAGAGCATGGTCTGGTAGTGGGCTACAGCCCAGGGGTTGGGGACTGGCCCTTGCTCTATTATCTATGTTTGAGGCATGAGATGCAGCCTCTGTCTCATCCCCAAGACTCCATAGAAGCAACCTAAATTTGCATTTGTCTAGAAAACTTGAATTGCTGGTTCTGGCTCAAATTAATGAATTAAAAGTTTCCTACTGCTTCTGCTCACTTGGGGGTAGGTCCGTTGGGTTAATTCTGGATGCTGCTAGCTCTGGCCACTTGCTGCCAGCAAGCCATTCCCTTGCAATCCTTCTTGATTTGGAATATTTGGGAGTTGGGGGTGAAACTAACAAGAGTCTCCCATATTAAGCTGAAGGGAAGACTGGTAAAACCTCTCTAGAAGACTCCAGCAGGTTAGAAGAGTGATTCACAGAGTCATAAGGCTGGAAGGGACCTTGGAGGTCTTATCTCCAACCCCGTGCTCAAGACACAAGCCTTATGCCATCCCAGTCACGTGGTTGTCCAGTTTATTTCTGAAAACCTCCAGTGATGGAGCACCCACAACCCCACTGATTAATTATTCTCACTGTCAGAAAATTTCTCCTTACTTCTTGGTTGGATCCTCTATTTAAGCAGCTTCCACCCAGGACTTCTTGTCCTTCCCTCTGATGCTTTGGAGAATAACTCAATAAGGGTGAAAGATAGCTGGGGTGAAGCTTGATGGACTTCTCAATGCACCATGAATACCCCTCCAACATTACCCTGCACCCTTTCCTCCACCCCACTGATCTGTTGCCTGTGCTATTTGTAGACAAGGTCCACCAGTCTTTCAGAAGATCAATAATGCTCCCACCTTCAGAAATTGCCTAAGTGTAAGGTTACTGTTGCAGAGCAACTCTTCATACCAACGGTCTATTGTTCCAGCAACTTGAAAGGTGGCTAAAGGCTCCATCCCCATATCTTGCCCCAGACTGTCCTGCTAAGGGGCTGTTGAAAGTGTCCCCACACCCGCCCACCAACTGGTTAGTGACATTGGGCAGGAGGAAAGAATAAGAGAACCATATTATTCTGCCAAATCAAGGATTGAAGTAATTCACTTTAACACTGTTGTGAGAAAGGGCTAATGGGGGACAAAGTGTTACAGCCTGGAAACGTTTGAAGCTGTAGTGATAGTGTCAGCTTAAAAGGAAACATACTGCATTAAGCAGTTTGTTTAATAATGACTAGGCGGTTTCACTCCTGGGTTGGGGATGAGATGAGGACAGTGTTGTGGGACCAAGTGGAAGCCTGGGTTTAGCAAGATAAGATTGTGCAATCATAAATTGCAAGTTGAGTTGAATCGAAGAACTTCAAGGTGCTCGAGGCAGAAATGTTAAGGTTGCCAATTTAAAAGTTCAACTATTCTATCCTTATCTATCTTTTTCTGGTAAGTACAAAGATAGAAGAGATAATGGAGAGGCTCAAGTAGCTTATCATCAAAAGACAACATCAACTGGATTGCAAAATTCTGTGAATGAAGCAGGCAAATATTTTTTAAAAAACTGTCCAGACATGAAGTAACTATTTGGGGCTATTGGTGGTTCTGACTAATGGGATAAGCGGGGGCGGAAAGCCAGCGTGACATACTCACCATTTCTATGGAAAAGATAACTATATCCAACCGTTTTCCACTTTATAACATATTTGTATACTGCAAAGCGATAACACCTGTTGGATTCCATTTCCCCTAGAATTGAGGAGCAAAAATCACAAGTTTTACAGTCATAACCTTCGAAGAGACTTGTTGGATCAGACCAAAGCTTTCTCTTACACAGCATCATATTTCTAACATAGTTAGCTGAAGTTTCTCGAGGTCCAGTCAATAAACACCAGAGACTGTTTTCTCTCCAGCATCTGGTATCAAGCTAGATTGACTCCATAAATCCCTATTTCAATTAGCTCTTGCTATAATAGTATCCATTTTCCCATTTCATCCATTTTTCTAATTTCCTTTTGAAGTCAATGACCATCCCTACAATTTCATCGCAGAGGTCCAAGCAAATCAAGACTATGTTTTGTAAACAAGTGCTTCATCCCAGTTGTACTGAAGCCTTTTCCACAAGTTTCTTCAGAGGATTCTGAAGTCTAAAAATCTATTCAACTGCGATGTAAAGAACCCAAGCATAGAGAAAGGAGCAGGTGGACGAAATTACTACCCACTTCCTCCTTTAACCTATATTGAACTATCTGTCCCACTTTTGCTTTCTTTCATGATTCCAAGATGGCACTATTGACAAAATATCAAAATTCTGCCATCATAGAAGAATCGACAGATGCACCATGCAAAATAACCATTTTATAGTATACTTCAGTTAGTCTTCCTGCCTCTGTTTTATTGTTTTAAATTAATGTCAAAGCTATTCACTAATCTCTTCCAGTGAAACACCATCATTTTCAAACTCCTTCCCAACCCAAGTGTAGCTCCAGCTAGAGATGCACTTGATCTGGAGGAGATAAAATTAGTAAGCGATACAGCAACAAAGAGGACCCACTTTCTTTTGATCCTGCTGCTTCTGCCAAGCAAGCTATGCCACTTAGAAAGTTTCTCGGATGGAAAGAGTGATATTCTACTGGAGGAACCTGGGAGGGCCTTAGGAAGAGGTTTCAGTTTTACCTGTAAGCAGGTAAGTAGCATCAGGTTTCATGCAGTCTTTCTTAGGCAAGGTTTCTCCAAGAGGCTCAGCTTCAAAGCAAAAGTGAGCCTCATCCACTTTCCACTCCAGAGTGTAATGCCTTCCAGACAGACTGACATTCAGAAAACTGGGACCTAGGACAGTAGAATCATAGCATTAGAAATTAACATTCAGGCTATCTAGAGGTAACTGGAGAATTCTGGGAGTTGAAGTCTACACATTCTTAAAGTTGTTAAGAATAGGCAACACTGTCCAGACCAACCATGGTCAATGCATAAGCCTTCTGCATGGAGCATCTCTGCCAGATGAGTGCCTTACTTTTTCTGAGATCTCACATAAGAAGGGCCACGGGGCAACAATCTTGTAATGCAATAAAGATACTGTATATATATATATATATATTTACAATATGCCATTGGCATTGCCACGGAATATGCTCAAACCTGAGCTCTTAATTAGTCAAGTTCACTTTTTGTCTTCTGCCAATTTGATTCTAGGCCTCTCTCTCTCTCCCTCCTGTTATTTCATTTTCTGAAGCTCCTCAATAAACCAGGCTTGGTAAAACAGAGGGAAGCCATTTAGAACAAGCCTATCCAAGTTGCCATCACCCTGATGTCCCAACTGGTAACGAAAGTGTTACGAACTAACTAAATAAACTAATTATTAAAAACTCTTCGAGCTTCGCTCCAACTGCAGGCTCGTAATCCTGCAGTTCTGATTGGTCCGCAAGTAAGCGATCATGATTGGCTGCCTTCGGCTAACCTGATTGGCTGACAGCGGCCATCCCTAATTGAAAGACTAAGTGCGGTTAAACTCGTTCCCATTGGTTATTGCGGCAGCAGCCAGCTCTATAAAAGAGCTGCTGCTGCCCAAGTGTTTTACTCTGTTCTGAAGTCACTATTAAAGAGTTGAGTCACTACCAGATGCCTTGTCTCCGTTATTGCGCCCACTCCTCCAGATCTAACAGAAAGCCTTGGTGAACAGTCCACCAGGATCTTGGGAATTTCTCCAAAAGCTCTCAGAAACCATCATATGCCTGGAGCAGACTTTCAATAGGCCCATCTTTTCTCTAGTGATTGTTGCCATCAGTTCAATGGCAATCAGAGAGTGACCTGATGGAGAGATGCTGCAGAGAAATTTTTCTAGGACTATGTTGGTTGTTTTATACGTTTATACCACATAAAATATAAAGGAACAATTGATGGTGGAAGAGGGTCCCCATATAAAATGAGATAAAACTAGAAGACGGCTGCTGTGGTGGATTATGTCTAGAAATGGGAAGGTGTTGTGATGGATGACAGTGAAGTAGCAGTTTCCCACATAGGAGAGGATCACACCCCAAGGAAAAGGATGAGAGAAGAGTCAACACAGCCTGGAGCTGAATCAAAGAAAGAGGAAGGTATTTAGGATAGCTGCTCCATAGAATCTCCCAGGGTGTATCCATTAGGTTTAGAGTATAGGTAGTCCTTGATTTACAACAGTTCATTTAGTGACTGTTCAAAGTTTCAAAGGCACCGAAAAAAGTGATCTGCGATTGTTATCCTACATTCCCAAGCATTGACGCATCCTCATGGTCATGTGATCAAAATTCAGAGAGTTGGCCACTGATTCACATTTAGGATGGCCGCAGTGTCATGTGATCACTTTTTGTGACCTTCTGGCAAGCAAAGTCCATGGGGAATGCAGATTCACTTAACAACCGTATTACTAACTTAACAATGATGCAGTGATTCACTTAACAACTCCGGCAAGAAAGGTTGTAAAAGGGGGGTTGGGGGCAAAACTTACTTAACAACTGCCTCACTTAGCAGCAGAAATGTGGGGCTCAACTGTGGTGGTAAGTCGAGGACTACCTGTGGGATAGGTTTAGTCTGGCAAGATTCTGTCGGTATCATGCGAACAAATAACAAATTGAACTTTGGCTGGGTTATTCTATACTGCTCTTGGGCTGGGGCTGACCATTTCTTTGTATACCAACCTGCATTTTGTTCTGGTGGCAACTTAAAGGAATAAGCTGGAGAACGCCCTGCGTGGTTAATTGCTACCAGCGAAATGTTATATTCAGCTGCAGAAAGAGAAGTGTGGTACGAAGTTGTGTTATGTACAGTGATGTTGTACTTTTCTAATCCAAAAGAACACGGCTTGCAGGCCAGCATGACAAAAGTCAGAGTATAGTTCACCACCCCTTGCTCCACGGAGGGTCTCTGCAGGAATACAAAAGAGAGTAGATTGACATTTGCTATTAGAGAGCAAGAAGAAAAAGAATATTACAAAATATGGGACTTATTTTACAAATGGTTAGATAAGAAATTAGAGAAATATAACATAATATAATATAAACATAACATAATAGTCAAGATAAAATAATGTAATGATATGACATAAGCGATTACTATGGAAAGGATTATAATATGATATTCTACATTTGATTATTTGGAAATGAATGGTACCATACACTAGGCTTTATAATAGTTGATTCTTGCTCAAAAAAGATGAGATGAATTTATAAATACAGTCTGATAATGATTTGACAATAATATGATGCTAAGCAGACAGTAGTTTTATACATTATGAATTGTAATATAAAAACAGGATGGAAGGACTGTTGATATTGTGCACCAGAGATATATATCAACTGACACTATATAATGGAAATAAAATTTTATTTAATGTTGTATGTCTTGTGTTTGTTTATGTTTGTTGTTTAAAATAAAATAAAATTTAAAAACAGAATACAAAAGAGGGAATCGAAAGCATTTTCCAAGCCATCAGCTAATGCTTCCCTTTCTATCTTTCGTTCTTTTCTGGGGGAGACCTCTTGGGCATTCTGTGGTTTCAAACCATTCAAACCATTATCCAATCTAGGCTAGGTGATGTCTGCATGATAGCACTAAAAGATCTACAGAGACCTTGGCGTCAGGCCTCCTGACCCACTTATCCTCTTCTTTTTTAGATTCTTGAATTAAGAAAAGTAATCACCTTGTAAAATAAAATGACAGATTCTGGTTTTTTTTTTTTTTACAAAAACACTCTGGGCCTTACATTGGCCCTATAGACATCTTTAACAAATTAAAATAATGGGTAACTGAAATCCAGGAGTTTATTTGCAAATGTTACCTCTGCCCTCCAACAATCACCACCAGCTGAACACCCAATCAGCCCCAAAGATACAGATAGTCCTCAACTAAAAGTTCATTTAGTGACTGTTCGAAATTACAGCAGCACTGAGAAAAATGACCTATGTCCATTTTTCACACTTACAACCGTTGCAACATTGTGATCAATATTCAGATGAGTGAAAACTGACTCATATTTATGGCGGTTGGAGTGTCTCAGGGTCATGTGATTGCCTTTTGTGGAATTCTGACAGCCAAGTCAATGGGGAAGCCAGATTCACTTAACAACTATGTTACTAGCTTAATAATTGCAGTGATTCGCTAAATAACCGTGGCAAGAAAGGTCATAAAATGGGGCAAAATTAACAAATATCTCAGTTAGCAACAGAAATCTGGGGCTCAGTTATGGTCACAAGTCAAGGACTACCTGTATAAGTTTCATATCTAAAGATGGGAGCTTGAATGATTGCACTGCATGTTTTTCTTGTCTTCTTGTCTGCTTAAGAAGCAATATTTTTAATGTTTGAAATGCAGGTAATCCAAATGGACGGTGGATTGTTTGAGCCAGAGGATGTTTGAATGATGGACTCAGATGCCCCAAAGGCTGAATAAAAGCCTTCCCCTTACCGCCCATTGCAAAGTTACGTTCCTCTCGCCTTCCTTTCCTAGGGACCCCACAGTATAATTTACTGTGGGACTTCTGAGGATTTCTAGAAGAGAAAAAGAACGCATCTATTAGACTCTGGAAACTGTTAATTTCTCCTCAAAGCCCTTTATACACCGGAGACAAATTCTTTGTGTGTCCAATCACACTTGGCCAATAAAAAATTCTGTTCTGTTCTGCTGTTCTGACAAGACAAAAGACACACACACAAATCTCACCACAAGGAACAAAGAGGATTTCACTCCAGCTGCTCCAGTGGCTGCTCCAGTGATCCGTTCGATATCGAACTTGCACTTCATAACGCATATTTTTTTCCAGGTGACATGTGGCAACTAGACAAAAGCAAGGATACATAGATCAGTCTTCAATTGTCTCCAGACCCAAAGACTATAGTAGCTATTAAGCAAGGTGATCTATAGAACTACTTCCTTTTGTATCCCACATCCTTCATCATAAACTGATCAGAATTTAGCTATTCAAGCATGAAGCTGGCAGCGAGCCCAATCTATCACATGGATTTGATTCAGAGATATCCATGGAACAGCTTGCCTCCTGGAGTTGAGAGTGCTTGTCTGGGATGGTATAAGGACTCCCGGCAGGGGTGGTATTCAATTTTGTTTACTATGGGTTATGTGGGCGTGGCCTGGTGGGCGTGGCAGGGGAAGGATACTGTAAAATCCCCATTTCCACCACACTCCAGAGGAAGTTTACTGCAAAATCCCATTCCTTCCCTACCCCACTAATCTGCTTTCCAATTCCGTTCTCCTGTGCAGGGCAACAAAAGAAGACCCAGCTGATCAGCTGGGATTTGGGAGGCAGAGAATAGGTGGGGGCGGGGCCAGTCAGAGGTGGGATTTACCAGTTCTCCAAAGTACTCAAATTGTCTTGTATCTGATATTAACACAATTGAAAAAGTCCTCTACTCGTTGCAGAATACCTTATGCCACCAGACTTGAAACTCTAGTCCTAGAAAACCTAGAACTACGCTGCCTCTGGTCCGATCTAAGTATAGTATATAAAATCATACATTGCAATGTCCTACCTGCAAATGAATACTTCAGCTTTAATCATAACAATACAAGAGCACACAATAGATACAAACTCAAGGTTAACCGCACCAAACTTGACTGCAGGAAATACGACTTCAGCAACAGAGTGGTCAATGTCTGGAATACTCTACCTGACTCTGTGGTTTCTTCCCCAAACCCCAAAAACTTTAACCTTAGACTGTCTACTATTGACCTCATCCCATTCCTAAGAGGCCTTTGGGGGACGTGCATAAGTGCACCAATCGTGCCTACCGTCCCTGTCCTATTGTTTTTTATTTTTCTTATAAGTATCTATCTCATGTATTCAAAACTATATTTATTCTTATACCTGTATCTTATAAGCGATTGACAAATCAAATAAATACTAAAAATACTAAAAAAAAAATTGTTCTGCCCCTTCACCACACCACATGTGAACTTGGCCCGTCTTCCATTCTCCTTAGTACCTCTATATTTTAAGCCAATCTACCTTTCCCAGATGCTTAAAATTTTAGCAGGCTGTAGGAGAAAGAAGGCCTACTTGGACCAAAGTCCATAACAATACAAGAGCACACAATAGATACAAACTCAAGGTTAACCGCATCAAACTTGACTGCAGAAAATATGACTTCAGTGACAGAGTGTTAATACTTTAACATGTTACTAAGTCTAGCCTTTATTGGTTGCTAGGTGAATAGATAGTTTACAGATATGATGACATATATAGGATTTCTTATTTTCTTGGTTATACTACAAATCACCAGAAGACTTTTTGAGAATTTAGGGGTATATAATTACAGTAAATTAATAGCTACATATTTTTTAGCAATAGAAATAGCAATAGCACTTAGATTTATATAGCATTTCACAGTGCTTTACAGCCCTCTCTAAGCAGTTTACAGAGTCAGCAAATTGCCCCCAACAATCTGAGTCCTCATTTTATCAATCTCGGAAGGATGGAAGGCTGAGTCAACCTTGAACTAGTCAGGATCGAACTCCTGGCAGTGAGCAGAGCCAGCTTGTAATACTGCATTCTATCCATTGAGCCACCAAGGCTCTTTCCTAGTGGCTCAAGGTTGACTCAGCAATGGGTTGACATGTTGGCACAATTTACATCAAGCTAGGTCATGGACGTTACTGATTTGTTGCATGGGATGATAATTTTGGTTCTATTAGTCTAACATCCTAGGTTCCACAATGTCCTCTAAGAAGCCTTCATTTACAGCAAGAATTTAATTTTGCAATAAATCACAAGAGATCCATCATCATGTTCTTTGAGGG